TTCTGAACTTTGCGTCTCTCTTTTGTAAGAACTATGGCAACCCATAGGAACGTGGTTGAGGTAAGTAAACTCTTAGTATTCTATATCTAGAGCCCTTTTGATGAGGTATTTCCTTCAGTGTTTCATCTCGACTGTGTTTTGACTTGAGCTTCGGGGACGAAGCGTCCTTTAAGGGGGGGAGAATGTAATACCCCGAAAATTTGAGAGAATTTGGGAAATAATTAAAATTGTGTTTCATATTGTTTACACGGTCTATATGTCGTTTATTATGTTTGGTTTAGTGTTTGGGACAAAGGGGAGGTCCAAATGGGAAAGAAACGGGGCAAAAACTAAGGTTTAGGGCGTCTGGGGGTCACGCGTGCGTTCCTGTTGTGTCCTAATGCAACTCAAACTTCGTAAATTCACTATAAATACATCCCTAATCCGATTTTCCTCATTCCAAAAACCCTATGACCGCCTCTTCAAGCTCTATCCCTTCCAGCTCTTCAATATTAACGTATCCAGCACGAAATTTTATGCCAATGATGAGATCAAACAATCCAATATTCCGGTAAGTGCGTTTGTTGCCTAATTCGCGTCGTTCATCCGTTTCCTAAATTTCTTTCTCCTAAATTGAGATCCTTCGAACCTATCACTTCCTAGGTACGTGAGAATGATCCATCAAACTAGGTTTGACGTTTAGGATTCGTTGCTAGCCTCGAGGTAAGGACTATTGCAACCAAAATTACTATTTTGCCCCTATATTGTATAAACTAGGGTTTGTGCTATGATTTGAGTTTCTTTCTGAACTTTTATGGATAATTCGGCTATAATAGTATGAGTATGATGATTTATTCTTTTCTGGGAATTTATGAACGTGTGATTTTTGGTGAATTTATCAAATCAGTTTATCATGGCTAAAATTGTGATTTTTGATGATTGTTCTTTTGGGATTGGAAAATTTTTGTGATTGTTTTGGTATGAGTTGAAGAATGATTTGAGACTATTATAACTGGTTATATTGAAAATATATTATGGGTTCACAATATTCCAATTTGATTATTTTGGTGGTAGTAGTAAATGCTACTTTTGGGAAGTGGTTGTTTGGGTTAAACCCTCTTTTTGGAAAGTGTTGTGAGATCAAATCTTTTGGGATAAATTATATATTTTTAAATGTATAATTTGGTATGAAAATTTACATATATATTCTTGAGTTATAAATATCCTTATTGGATTATTTTGAATATGGTATTAAATACTATTTTGGAACTAGTTTTGGATAAACCCTAAATTGTAAGTTTCTCTGCCAATCCAAAATTGTTTCCTCGTATTATATGCTTATTATGCATTATGTGATTAAGTGTGATTTGTGAATTTTGTGTATGTGATTTTGAGAAGATATTATATATATGGTAGTTAAGAAGTATAAATCTAGTACTTTTGGGGTATTAAATATTTTTAAATACCTTCGAGACTTTTCAGAGAAATTAAGAAGTATAAATCAAGTACTTTTGGGGTATTAAATACTTTTAAATACCTTTGAGACTTTTTAGAGAAATTAAGAAGTATTTTTGAAGTATTGTTAAGCAAAGATAAAATTTACATTTTTATAAGAAATGAGCATCTCGGGAGTAATCCGAGGTGTCGGTTTTTCCACATCCGGATAAATGTGGAGGGTGATTAGAGCTACAACTACTAAGAAGTACAGTTTGGATCTATGATCCCTTTTAAGCAAGATTTGGATCTATGATCCCTTTTAAGTAAGATTTGGATCTATGATCCCTTTTAAGAAGAAGTTATAGTAGTAGTCTCTAATCATTCAAGAATTTTAGAATTGGGGTGGTTGGGTTCCGACCACTCGGGATGACTTACTACTCGGAGGGCTTGGAATCCCTTTTAGGGGGTGTGCACACTTAAGGTAGTCGTTTCGTTTCCACAAGAGCAGTTGTGGTACCGGCACTTGTTCGGGGTGGCCGTCCGTAACCACGGTCCACCGGGCTCAGTCGAAAGGTTGAGCACCGCCCTTCTAAATTACTAGGAAGTTAGAGAAGAAGTGATTTTCTTAAGAAGTTTAAAGAGAAGAGATACTAAGAGATTTTCGAAGAGAAGTTGAGGATTTTAGTAAAGAAGAAATTTTAGAAAAAATCAAAGAGAAAAGTATTTTGGTGGAGTGTGTCATTTTTATATAGTATTATATGAAAAACTATTTTCGCCAAACGTGATTATTTTACGGGGTTGGGTCGGCCTTACTTAGCTAAAAAGCTAATTTTTGTTTCCTTTGCTTTGTTTTCTTTTCTGCACTTTAATTGTGTAGGTGATGAAGGTTATGCATGATGATGAGAGATGCGTTAGATCACGTAGTTTAGTATTTATAATCACCTAGTTATTGTTTATTTCAGTTTGAGAACATGTAGACATTTAAATTATTTTTTTGAAATTTTCAGTACTTAAATACTCGGATTATTTTTGGATGGTGGTTTAGCCTGTGCATTCGGTTATGTGAGAACCGAGTGTGGCGGTAACACCCATTTCCCTATTAAGACTTCCGCTGTATCTCTGATGTTTTCAAATAAAGTTGATAATTCCTTTGAATAAATCATTATTTCAATGTATTTTTGGTTGGGAAAATGGGGGTGTTACAACAACAGTACACGCTTCTGCTTCAGGCCGGATGCCAGATTGCCAACGATCGATCTCTCCCTTTGAGTTTTGATTTTGCTAGGTTATTTTTGAAATAAAAAAAACAAAAGTGAAAAGTTAAAAGTTTATATTTGAAAAGTAAATAATTAGGTGACATAAATGATATGCAATAAACAAAGGTGGACTGAACGAGAAATTTCCACAAATAATTTGTCCAAAAATCCCATCGAGCAAAAGTTGGGAGGAATCTTGGGCTATCATAAAAGCTGAAAGAGTCCACACATTCCATTGCGAGATAATGGGCCACTCCGTTTGCTTCTCGCATTGTATGTCCAAAAACCACCAGTTCCCTTTTTGCCATATGTGTGACTTCCAAAATCTTATCCTTCCACCGGCTTTTCTTCTTCTCCGCTAGATATTCCAGAGCTAAGATCGAATCAGTTTTCACCATAAACCCTTCAAAGTCTCGGTCAATCATCCACTTCGTCGTGAATAGGATAGCAAAAAGCTCCGCTTCCAAAGCCGAGGAAGCTTGAAGTCGAAAGCTAGTCGGGTCAGGTTTGTTTTTTTTAATTCCTAATTTATTCAACATGTGCTACACATTAAAAATTAAATGTATATTTATTTGAAATATGAAGTACAATTGAGAATTGAGAATAATTTAAAAAGATTAAATACATTTGCTAATTGTCGGAATCTCCCTCAACGGTTGTTGTTGTTTCCTCCATGAAGTGGCGACCAGGGGCGATGCAAAGATCTTGAGTTCTGTGCTGGGCTTTCAACCAATCGTTGAAGGAAAGGGTTGATTATTTTCAAACCTCGATATTTGTGTTTGCGTCCCCGGCCCTTACCTTAGTTTTTCACCCACTCCGTGGGGGCCTATGGCAGCCGCCATATCTCATCTAAATGCTCAAGCTCAAAACTTTTTACGATGTTTGCATGTTGCATACCACCTCCCCATCTTCCGGGTTCTTGACCTTATCGAAATTATTTTCCATAATAAGAGATTTGCCTTTTTTACCAGATTGGGATGAACCGGCGCCTTGTTCCTCCTCCTCGTCGGGGGTTTTCTCGGGGCTTTGTTCCTATTTGGTTGTCGGCGGCTCCTCATCATCATCGTCATCCTCGAGCTATTCGTTAATCTCGGGAATGCCTTTTTGTTGGTAAAACCGGCCATGGCCTTGGGCTAATAGTTGAGCCAGTTGCTCGTCGGGCATCACATCTCTCCGTTGATAATATGCATCAAAATCATCTCAACTTTGAGAAGACATGACATTTCCTTTACCTTGCCTCACGAACTAGGATGTCCTTTCACAATCTCCTTCCTTATGTTGCGTTGGAGGTTGCTCATATCTACAGAATATCTATCACGGTTCATCTTAAAATGTAACAAGTATAAAATTCCTCGCGAACAAATGTTTAAACGTGAGTACAATTAAAATGCAACTACTATAAAAATGTATATAAAATGTGAGTTTAAAATTTTGTAACTTATATAAAAATGTAACTAAAATGTGACTAATATTAAAAATGTAACAAGTATATAACTCTAACAGAAATTGAAATGTGAGTACAAATAATATGCAACTAATATCTAAATGTAACTAAAATGTGACTTTAATATAAGTAAATATAAGATTATAGAATTGTATAAAGAGAATTGGAGAAGAAGAAAATGAAGATAATTAGAGAGTACTAAAGAAAATGAAGAATTAGAGAATGGATGTACGAAAACGTTTAGAAAATAAATGTATTTATAAAGTTTTTTTGTATTTCACCCCACCATACCCCACCCCCCAACCCTACTTCTAAACCGCCTAACCCCCCCCCCCCCCCCCCCCCCCCCACACACACACACCATTTTATGTTTTTTTAAATATATAGTCATTTGGCTCGAAGCCCAAAATTCAGGTCCGTAGCCTGCCTATATTCTACCACGGTCTGGGTACCGGAAAACCAGGTCTGGGCCGATACCAACAGTATTGGGCCCGGGCGGTATCAACAGTACCGGTCCCAGGTCAGGCCGCGCAAATCCAGTCCACTCATAGTAAAAGGTCAATGAGTTAAAATTTGTGATATGCTACGAAGATGGATCAGATGACCAATTGTGTCCGCCTTGAATGTTGTATACGAAGAGTTACAATAATTGGTAGGTATCCTTGACAAGTTCGTGGACTTACTGTTGGCCGTTACTATTATTATCATTTTTTGTACATAACTTTTTTGTAACATTTTCATATGTACGTACGTAGTGGTGAGATTAGAATAGGACTGTTTTTACATTTAATTACTTTCCTTTCTTTTCTCCTTTAGTTACGCATGACAGTACTCGTACGTTGTAAAGTACCCATGCGCATCTTGTATATATTGCATGCATTTTTATACGATCAACACACATAATAGAAAATTTTCTCCATTTTTTTTCTTTCAATTTTACATGGTATCAGAGCGTTGATCCGGGACCAACCGGTCACGCAACCATGACAAAAGATGGCCGGTGAGACAGACAACGTCGGTGAAGGAAACCGTGAACAAGGTGAACGACGAAAGATTAATGATCCGTCCTCACCATACTACTTGTCGAGCTCGGATTTTCCCGGATTGCACATATGTGCGGTTGTTCTCAAGGGTGAGAGCAATTATCGGGAATGGGCGACGGCAATGAAGAATGCATTCCGTGCAAAACGGAAAATGGGGTTTCTTGACGAAACCATTAAACGGCCCGTAAACAATGAAAGAGATCTCGAAGACTGGTACACCGTCAATTCTATGGCGGTGGGTTAGATTATGACGTCGGCGGATCCAGCTCTCCGGTCTAACCTGGCCTATATGGACAGCGTGTATGGCCTGTGGGATGACATGGAGGCACGTTTTGCCGTTGGAGATGCAATGAGAACTTACGAATTGAAGGAGTTGATTCGTAATTGCCGTCAACGAGGGCAGCCAATCACCACCTATTTTGGACAATTCAAGGCGTTATGGGATGATTATGACGGACTCCGGAATATACCTCAATGCACCTGCAACGGTTGCACGTGTGACCTCAAGAAATTGTTCATCAAGCATGTTGAAAACGGAAAAATCAATGATTTTTTTATGGGCCTTGATACCGAGACTTATGGCAATTTACGTTCTAATGTGCTTGGTGCGGATGAATTGCCATCGTTGACTAAAGTTTACAACATGGTGGTGGAAGAAGAAAGACATCAAAATATGACACGAGGGAGAGAAGGAAAACAAGAAGTGGTGGCATTTGTTGCACGTACTGGACCTGATGCTGGGAAGGATGAAAAGATGAGGTGCACCTATTGTCAAAAATTTGGCCATGTTTTTGATAATTGTTTTCGGCGAACCGGAAATTACCCGAAATAGTGGTATGAAAACCCGGGGCGTTCTCATGGAGGAAGAGGACGGGGAGGATCCGGTCGTGGCAGCCCCGGACGTGGAGGTTTGGGTAGAGGAACTGGACGAGGAACTGAACATGCTATGCATGTGGGCGAGTACCAGGCAGATGCTACACCGGCACAAGGAGTAAAGGAGGTGGTCCTGCATAAGCCGGGATTCACCGATGAACAATGGCAGACGTTCATCAAACTGATGGAAAACTGTAAGGCTACTTCCTCCGGGGAAAAACTCTCAGGTATGAAACTTAATGACGAGTGGCTTCTCGACTCCGGAGCCTCGTATCATATGATCGGGAATTGTAATGCACTAAAGGGGATGGTGCAAATTGCACCTGTGGCAGTTGTATTGCCAAATGGAGAACACACCAAGGCTACTCACGTAGGAAGTGTAGTTCTTAGTACGAGCTTAAAATTGATTAACGTCCTGCTAGTGCCTCGATTAAAATGCAATTTAATTTCCTTGGCACAATTTATTGATAACCGGAAATGTGATGTATTTTTTACTAATGATTTATGTGTAATACAGGACCTACCTACGAGGATGCCGATTGGAGTGGGTGAACGGCGAGGGGGAGTTTATTTTTTCCGGGGTCTGGATCAAGCTCAAGCATATGCAGTGCGAAGTTCGGATTCAGGTGTTTTGTGGCACTCAAGGTTGGGTCATCCGTCAATAAAAGTACTTCGTTTGCTTGGTTATTTGAATAAACCATTGTTGCATTTTGATCAAAATAATGTGTGTGATGTCTGTATGAGAGGCAAACAGACCCGTGATAGTTTTGTTGTTAGTAGTACTCGTGCTGTTGAACCATTCGAGTTAATTCACTGTGATATTTGGGGTCCTTATCGTAAAATGTCTACTTGTGGTGCACACTATTTTTTGACTGTGGTTGATGATTTTTCTAGAGCTGTTTGGGTGCATTTAATGTGTGACAAGAGTGAAGTTAAAAATATTCTTAAACAATTCATTGTCATGACTAATAGACAATTTAATAAAATTGTGACAGTTGTGAGAAGTGACAATGGCAAGGAATTTTTAAGTCTCCAGGAATATTTTTTGACTAACGGAATCATTTTTCAAACAAGTTGTGTGTACACCCCTCAACAGAATGGTAGGGTAGAGCGGAAGCATAGGCATATTTTGGATATGGCTAGAACTCCTCGATTTCATGCAAATCAAGGATATTCTTGAGGGGGGTGTTGGCCGTTACTATTATTATCATTTTTTGTACATAACTTTTTTGTAACATTTTCATATGTACGTACGTAGTGGTGAGATTAGAATATGACTGTTTTTACATTTAATTACTTTCCTTTCTTTTCTCCTTTAGTTACGCATGACAGTACTCGTACGTTGTAGAGTACTCATGCGCATCTTGTATGTATGGCATGCATTTGTGTACGATCAACACACATATTAGAAAATATTCTCCATATTTTTCCTTTCAATTTTACACTTACAGACTCATCTATTTCATTACATGATGTTTTACTTTTGATTAGTACCATAGTACCATATACTTCTTAGGGAGTGTTGCTAAAACTTAAAAAAGTGCTTTTTGAGCTTTTGGCTTTAAAAAATCTGAAAAAGTGTTTTCAAATTACAGCTTCTGCTTAAATTAAGCGCTTAAAAGCTAAAAGCTGGAAGCATGTGGAAGATTGCTTGAAAGTGCTTTTCACTTTTTCTATCACATAAAGCATGTGGAAGAGAGCTTTAAACTGTTTTTCACTTTTTCTATCCAATAAAAAACACATATTTTACCAAACACTGCAATTTTTTTCCCAGAATCACTTTGTTTTTTTCAAACACTACCAATTTTTACTATTAAGTATTTTCTTCAAAATCACTTTAAAAAATCACGTTTTTGAAGTAGAAGCAATTACACACACTCCCTTAGTTTGTTATTACAATGACATCTTATTTTTATTTATTTAATGTTTTCAATTAATTGGCTCATTATCAAATTTTTTCTTCATAGAAGTGAGCGCATCCAAACTATTTATAACCACAGTTAATGAAATTTCTTAACAACTAGCACATCACCCGTGCATACACACGGAAAACGGTTGGTCCTTATATATTTATGTTCATGATCTAATTAAATATAACAATGTTTATTTTTAGAATTCTATATCATTTAAAAAATAGAGTACAATAAGTTAATATCAAAAAGTATAAATCCATACCACAAATATCCAAAGTAAAAGAAAATTAAAGTACAAAAATCAACACTATCCATTAGAATTTGATACGTAATAATTAGCCAATCTTTTTCGGGACGAAAGGATTTGGCCAATCTTTTCGGGACGAAGGGAGTAATAAAACTGCACACATTCTATCATTTTTATTTATTATTTTATTCTTTGCACTGGAAATTTTGCAATTTTACTCTAAGCTATCACTCTAAATTAATAGTGTGAATGAACAAAATGATGGTAAACAGGACAAATGAAAAAGTTATAACACTATAAAACATGAGTTTTATTAAAGAGTTAAATTATTATTTATATATTTATACATACAATATTGGTGTCATATGAAAGATAATTAAAAAATATGAAATTTGATATGATTTTTGTGACAATCAGATTACAAATAAAAAAGATGTAGTGCTTCAAAAAATTAAGGGATTTTATTTGATTAGGAGTTTTCATTTGTTTTAAGAATTTTAATCTAGTATTGATCCAAATTTGTGAGTTAGAAAATGAACAAACATGACATTTTTATAGGAAATGAACAAATTATGGAGAGATTGACACATAGGATTCATTAAGGACATAATTGTATTTTAATGAGTTAATGAAAAAAACAAATGCAAATACAATCCTCACGATTTTTTAGGTTCAGGCCCTAAAATACCGTTAACGACGGAAGTGGCGATCAGAATTGCAATCAATTCTGCTCCAGCGACCACAACGGCTTGCGCCAAAGCTCCGAAACTCACGGCCGCTTCGATCTCTTTTTTCGCTGATTCGATCTCCTTCTCTGCCGCTTCAATTCCCTTGTCCGCCGTCTCAAAACCTTCCTTCACCAGCAGCTCCGCTTCCTCCTCCAGCTTGTCTATCCTTTTCCTGACGCCGAACAGACCGATTTTTTCTGCTCTCGACGGCAGCTCCGCGCCCTTCAGTGTCGTCGTAGCAGTGAGCAGCAGCAGCCACTGCCTCCGGCAGGTGAGAGCCGCGGGCGAAGCTCTAGAACTGCGCGGCTTGCGAGAAGAAGAGCGGACTGGAAGCGTTTGCACGAGAAGCGAGGCTGTGGAAGCCATGGAAATTGGCGCAATTGAATCGGATATTCAGATTTGATAGATACAGGGGCGTACACGGCGGAACGTTCGCGAGGATAGAGTGGATATGTGGTTTAAGTCATTTTTGTTTTAAATTTTCTCATTCCTTATTTTTTGATACGGAGGAGGAAGTACACTACTTTAAATTTTAGAGGTTTATTACAAAATACTCCCTTCTTTCCTAATGACTTTGCCAAGTTTGACCGTCACGGTGATTAATAAAATAAAAATTGTGTGGGTGAGGATTGTGCAGAGAACAGAGAATTAACTGAAACCAGAAATTCTTTACTTAAAAGGGAAAGCAGCAAAGTTAATGAGACATTCAAAAAGGGAAAGTTGACAAAGTTATAAGGAACGGAGAGAGTACTATTGAAATAAATTACTCCGTAATTTTTAAAAATAAGATCAAAAGAGCTTCTCCCGGCGGCTTACTGACGCGTAGGGTTTTGTCTCCCTAGCGGCTTTGTCGTCGCATAGGGTTTTTCTCCGTCAATCGTTTGTACGGTTCTTCTTCTTTAGGTTTCTAGAATGTTTTTTAAATTTAGATTGTTGGTTCTGGTTTTAGGATTTAGGCAACTTTCAGATTATCTGTTGGATCTCGAAGCAGTAGTAAGATTTCATCTTTGTTTTCTGATATCTTTTCTCTACTTGTGCAAGGCAATCATAAAGGAGGTGTGAGTATGACTGCAACTTTTGGAAACGAATCCAAGGTCCAAGAAATGGTAATCATGTCTTCTATGAAAGATCTAGAGTAGCGTTGTCTCATTCATGAAAGGGAGAAGGATCAAAAATGACATTAAAGTTTTTAATGAATCTCGGATTGGACACTCAGGTTTTTAGTAGACCAAATTGACACAGATTCAACCTTATTTGTTGCATTTTAACCACGCACTAAAATTTCCGTTAAGCAGGACAGTTCCATTAAACGGCGTGGGATAAGGTTAAACATTCTACAGCAAAAGGAAAACTTTGGCTTCCTTGTTACTATACAAATTGCTCCAGTGATCCACCCAAGTCCCAACCAGGACTTTCAGTTGCTTTTCTTTATTCCTCCACCCGGCTCTTCTTCTTTCAAGGTCACGAGGTCGGCTACTCATCACCTGCACTCTTCTTTGCTTCTCATGTCCACCATGGCTGAAGTCAAACTACACTTTGAATTCCTCCGCCTACCTGTACTCTTTTTTCCTCGCATAGAGAGATGTAGTAGTTCTTGGATAGGAGGGAACTTAGACTGTATATTCAATTTCATCACCCGGGCTAGACCCATGGCAGATTGCTGAAGCCGAGCACCAAGTTCTATCTTAGACAATTTATTAGCCCCCAATCCACCCACCTCTCTATACCGGATGAAGCTCTCTTGAGGCAACGATCCAGATTGTGTCTTAATTTTATGTAACCCTAAGGAAGAAGCTAAGATTGGTGAAGCTGGTAGATCGGAGAAGAAACTGACAACAAGACTTCTTTGACCTCCGCAAATTAACTCTGGTTTCTTAAGTTGAAGAACCTAATCCCTCCCTCCTGAATTTGGATTAGGAATTCCGGGTGTGAAATCCTTGGCTTCAACAAGCTTCTTCTTATCTTTGAAGCTAGCATCTGGACTGGAAGCCGGAGACGAATTACTGGGAGTCTGGGAGAGTCATTTTCCTTGGATGCAGAACCAGACTTTGCCTTTTTCTCATCGCGTTGGTTCCGATAGGAGAATTTAACGAGACGGAGGGTGGGCTATTTGTGGATCCATCTGTTGCAAACCAGACTTCATTTTTTCAGAGCTCTAAGCTGCTAACATTTTTCCTTTGCAGGAAGTTGCCCTGTTTGTTTGAGGCAAACGTCATTTAAAGGAAACGTTAGTGGGTGGCTGCAAAGCTACGAATAAGGTTGAATCTGTGTCAAATTTGGTCTACTAAAAACCTGAGTGTTCAATACGAGATTCATTATAAACCTTAGTGTCATTTTTGGCCCTTCTCCCTTCATGAAATTGAGGAGGAGGTCAAAGGGTTAGTTTCTAATAAATCAACATGGGTAAAGGGCGGTGGTGGTGGTGGTGGCGGAACGGGCGACGAGAAGATGGGAAGAAGTGAAGGGCTGAGCAAGGGAGAAGACAGGTCGGCGGTCCGCCCCCCTCCTAAACCATCGCATTGGAGCGATCGGGGTGTTAGAGTTTGGAAGATTGATCAATTATTTAATTTTTATGGCTTTATTTTCGCGTTATGTTTTACATTGTTCTGTTTTTTGTTGATGCCTTTAGTTTTAAGTCTACAATTATGATTGACAATTCTGTTACATATTATGTCGTTAGAAAGATCTATATGACTAGTGATTGTTGTGTCACAATCGCTTGATGGTTAACGATTCGTATTGCTCTTTCAAGAGTGATCATCTCTAAGTCTAGCCATATGGTTGATAGTGCTAATTGGTTAGGGATAGTTGTTGTCAGGTGTTGAGGTTTATTCCCCTCAACCCGTAGGCTCAACACGTAACCTGGGGGTTTCGAACGGGTGGAAGGAAAATCGAACTCGCTAAACAACGGGGGGTGGGTTGATAACTGTTTTATTCACTATAACAATTACAAGCCAAAGGGCCGAACGTACTGAAAATATGCTACATGCTGTTGATGCTATTACAATTCTAGAGTAACGAAGTGCGAACCCTTTAGAGTGCAATTTATAGTACTCCATGGTGGTTGGGGGGCTGACGTGGCCGGCTGTGGGCGACATGATCCCAACTATCAAATCTCCCTCATTAAATGCGCTTCCCGCCAAGATCTTGGTTTCCCGCCATAGCGTGGGGGACGTCCGTCCCCTAAACTTGATTCAATCCTCTGGTGGAACCTGGGCCTTTAAGTATAGCCCACAAGACGTTCGTCCCCTGGCCCTTGGACCCTGGAGACCTGGTTATGCTGGGCTACGTACGTCCTCTGGTCCTTGGGCCCTGAGGGTTGATGGGCCGGCCCTGGTAGGCCATTAACCCAACACAAGTCCCCCACTTCTGATATTCCAAGCGTGCGCGGGACATAAAGAAGTAAGATAACTTCCGCCATACCGCCTCGAGCCTTTGCTCCCTTTTCTTCTGGGTGACGGTTGCTGTATACGCTCTTTGCCACATGTCGCCCGTGGGTTGGTCGCTGAACCGGTGCCTCCCCTTATAAATACCGGAAATCTGGGAAGGGTTAGGGCTTTTCATCTTTTGTCTCCTCTTGTCTTCCCAGCGCCGTTCAGCGAGTTATTTCGAGTTCCGGTGTTCTTTTCTCCCCCAAGCTTTTAGTAAGGTAATTTCCCAATCCCAACTTCTTCCTTTCCTTTCATAAATCTCTCCATGGCCTGCTCCATGGAAATTTCTTCCTCTTCGGAAACTGGCTCTGGTTCTTCTTCCGGTTCTTCAGCCAGTTCATCTTCGGCATCAGAACTTAGATCTCGTTCCTCGGCAGAAGCGAGCGGTTCTGGTCATTCCATCGCTTCTTCGATGACAGTCCCCGACGCAGTGGCTGAGGCCGCAATCTCGGTCGCAAGATAACTCGTTGATATGATCGTCGACCCTGAGAACGCCGTTGCGATGGTGGCACAACCTGCCGAGGCGGTGGGGCACCCAGCCGATCATGACTCGAGCAAGGAGGCTGAAGAAGGGGATGACCTTCGGATCTACAAGCGTGGCATCCCTATGGACCAGCATAGGCACACAGTGCTTATTCCGAACGTAGCCGTGATCGAACATGTCTTCTCCAAGAGGGCCCTGAGGGAACTGCAAATCATCCTCCCCCCACCTGCTTATTATAGCCTCCGAGGCGCAGATAATCTCTTTATGAGACGCTCGGGGATGGTGATGGTGCATATGGACTCTTTAAAGGCCGGACTGCGCTTCTCGCTACACCCGTTTTACCTGGACTTCTTCGAGTTTTACAGTGTGGTCCCGGCTCAATTTATGTCGAACTCCTACCGCCTGATCTCTGCGTTTCTTGTTCTCTGCAAATCGTTGGTCCCGGTTATACTGGATACAGTCTAGAGGGGAGGGTGAATAGACTGTATTGGTTTTTAGCTTTTTAAACTAAGTACCAGATTTACAGAATAGCCTGTTCTGTTGAAAGAACAGACTGGCAGCGGATGGGGTTCAAGAAGGGAGTTCTGTTAGCCTCAGAGAAGCAAAGGCAGTAGGCCTTCTGTTAACTCGTAGAACAAGTTCTGCTGAACACAGATACCAAGTCTAAGGAGTTATACAGTTCTAACTAAGTGCAAGTATTAAAAGCAGTAAGTAAACGACATCAGGGATTTTTATAGTGGTTCAAGGAACAACTCGTTCCTCTAATCCACTGTTCCACTAAGCTGTAAAAACTGCCGTTTACAAAGCCTTAGTCCTAGTACTTAAGAAGCACTCCACGTCTTCTTCAAGTCTAGATGTGTCCTGGGATGCACTGCCTGGCTTCCTTTAACACTGGTCCTTTCACTGAGTTTCCTTGAAGTATCACCACTTCACTACTCCAGTTACTTGGACGTCCTTCTTGTAGCAAGAAGAGTTTCTGTTGAAACAGGGGTTCCTCCAACTAGCTTCGTTACAAAATATTTGTATGTGATGAGCTTGAAGAGTTGAAGAACACTTGGAACTTTGCTTGAGTTGGAAAGAGTAATTTTCCAACTTCTGCCTTCTCTTGTAGAAGATAATGAGTTTGAATCTCAAGGAGGCTTTTTGCTTTTCAGAGTTTGAATATCTTGCTTGAAGAGTTGTAGCAAAGGTTAGCAAAAGTTGCAAAGTTATCCGGTTGTTCTTCGTAGTGTATCTTTTATACTGAGGTTGTCTTCCCGTTGGAGGAGTAGGAGGACAACTGCATTTAATGCGCGAGCAGTTGACTTGACCAGTAGGACCCGGTAAAGTTGGCGGGTTACTATTTTGGGATAAAGTAATCCTGACATTGCGGCCAATCATCTGCAATTACTCCACGGAGCATGGGGAGCATTAAATGAGCATTTAATGCGAGCACTGTAGCTTTTCCGTTTCATACTCCTAGCCGTTGAAGGAATCTTTAAGTTGACTTCCCGGCTTTGTGGATTTCTTCCAAGTGTAAGACCTTCTGGTGACATTGGCAGAGAACTGATTCAGAGAAGATCTTGAGCACTTCTGTTGGGAGTATCCAACA